TTGTTCATGGTGGTGGTTTTAATTGAAAAATGTAAAAATATCAAAAAGACGAAAATACCCTCTTAATTAACAGACCTATTTAACATAAATTAATTTGAGGGACTAAAAGTGAAACAAAATAACAACATGGTGATACAAGTGTAGTTAGTTCAATTGATAGTGTGGTTTTATATTGTGGAATTTACACTTGTACTTATATTGTGATTTTTTATTTCTTAACGAGTAAATTACATTTGTTGTCCCTACGATTGTCACCTAATATCAAGTTTGGTCTATTTTTTAAACTAGTTATAGTTTTATCATTTTGGTTGTCATTTTGTTTCACTTTTGATCACTATGACTAACTCTAGTTAAAGAAAAGCAAGTTAAAGTAATATAAGAGTATTTTGGTACTATTATTCTTTTTGTTTTATTAGATTATATAATATTATATATTAGATTATAGTTAATATTTACATAGTTTATTCAATTTTTAAAAAAATAGAACCTTATTTTTTTTACTATTACTAAGGTTGCAAACGAACCAAACAAATACGAACAGAGTTTTGTTCATGTTTGTTCGTTTAATTTAACCGAACAAATAAATGAACATAAATGAACGGATTAAACGAACATAAATAAATATTATTTGAATTCAAATTAATAAATAAAAAATTATATATTGAATCTAATATACAAACGAAGGGTAAATGAATGAACATTCACGAACCTAAATGAACGAACGACTCTTGTTCATGTTCGTTCGTTAACTAAACAAACAAAAAAATGGTTTATGTTCGTTCATTTACTAAATTAACGAACATAAACGATCTTTTCGCTGAACGCTCGGTTCATTTACAGCTCTAGAAAGTTTTCCGAAACCGAACTGAATGGAATTGTTACTTTCCAAAAATGCTTTCTGAAAAAAAAAGAAGGTCCATTTTACTGTAATATTTAATATTATTTTTGGTAAATCTTCATGTTAATATTCTTAATCGATTTTTAATAGTTGAAATTTTGAGTTCAATTAATAATTTAGTTATTAATATGTTTATTTTAAAATAATATTTTACATATCTAATTAATATATACAAATTAAAAATATAAAATTAATGGTGAAGCAATAGGGGTTTACTGGGAGACATATATATGATTTTCAATTTATATGATCATATTTTATTTTAGGTATATTTATTAATTTTATCTTTTCAATATGTTATCATAAAATAAAACATAATATTTTCTATTTTTGGTAAATATATCAATTTTTAAACGATTGACAAACCTATTAATAAATAGTATTTTAAAATAAACAAAATAATAACTAAACTTAAACCCAAACTCAAAATACTACTTGATAGAAAAAATTTAATTTGCAGATTTATCAAAAAAAAATATTAAATATCACATTTTTATGATAAAACTTAAAAAAAACATTTTATTTTTGTAAAGATTAAATAAAGTATATAGATATTAAATATATAGAATCATATGATCTAATGAAACAAAAAAAGATAAAGAAAAGAGTAAAAGGAACAAAATATCCTTAACTTAACTTTTTTTTTTAACTAGAGTTAGTCCGATTATTTTTTTAACTAGAGTTAGTCCGAGGAAGCAAAGCTTGTGAACCGTAGCTATGAAAATTATAATTAATTTAAAAGATGGATAGTGATCGACAATCACAAGAACAAAAAATGTAAATCACATTAACTTAGAAAATTATTTTTTTGGATGAGAAAGAAATTATTATTTATTAATTTAAATAATGTTTTTCAGTGAAATTGAATGTTGATATATGTATATCAAATAATCATTTTACATAATACAAACGAAAATCAATAAAATGCGAGTGTATTTCTCGATTTGTGCGTGTCATCCTTGCGCAGGGGCCATGCTAATCATCTCTGTATCGTTCCAATTTTATCGGATGGCCCGTTGATTGTTAATGAATTAGCTTCCTGGGCGAAGAAGTCGGAACGAAAAGTTCTGATTTTTAAAGCTGATTTTGAAAAAGCATTTGATAACCTGAACTGGGGTTTTTTAGATGATGTTATGAACCAGATGGGGTTTGGTCTTACTTGGAGGAAGTGGATTCGTGGGTTACTCTCAAATGCGAGTGTCTCTATTCTTGTTAATGGTAGTCCATCGGAGGAATTCTTATTGGAAAAGGGGGTGAGGCAAGGCGACCCACTTGCCCCTTTCCTCTTCATCATTGTTATGGAGGCGCTCCGTGTTGTTATGTTAGAAGCCCGGATTAAAGGCCTCTTCTCTGGCATTTCTCTTCCCCATGGTGGCCCAGTCTTAGAGCTTCTCCAATTCGCTGACGATGTTGTCTTTCTGGGGGATTGGTCTTTGTCTAATGGGACTAATCTTATTCGTCTGTTAAGATGTTTTTTCTTATCTTCTGGCTTAAAAATTAATCTTCATAAAAGTTGCCTTTATGGTATTGGGACTACGGTAGGGGAGTCCGGTTTCCTTGCTCGGAGAATGTTTTGTAAGTCTGCGTCGTTACCTTTCATGTATTTGGGCCTCCCGGTGGGTGCTCAAATGAGTAGGCGTTGTAATTGGTCTAAGTTGATTTCTAAGTTTCATGAGAAGTTTTCCTCTTGGAAGGCTAAGGCTCTTTCCTTCGGTGGCCGGAAGATCCTCTGCAAGTCGGTTCTAGGTAGTTTGGGAGTTTATTTGCTTTCTCTCTTTAAGGCTCCCGATTGTGTGATTAACTCTCTTGAGAGCATCAGGAACAACTTTTTATGGGGTGGAGGTACACATGGAAGGAAGATTACTTGGATTAAATGGAGTGTTACTTGTAACTCGATGGATAAGGGTGGTACCGGTATAGGCAGTCTAAAGGCGCTTAACTGGAGTCTTATTGGGAAATGGTGGTCGAGATTCCTCACTGACGAGGATAGTTTATGGAAAAACTGCATCAAGTCTTTCCATGGCGTGGATGGCGATTTATTTCGTGATGGTAGTAGGAAGTCGGGGGTATGGGGTGCGATCACGAAGTGGAACTCTTTTTTGAGTAAAGTGGGTCTTCATTTTACCAACTTCTAGTCATTGGATTCAAGTGGCAACCGTGTTTGGTCTCTCTCTGACGATGGTGTATTCAAGGTTAAGACATGTAGGGAAAAAATTGAGGAGCGGGTTCTTCAATCGGATCACAGGTGTACGTTGTGGAACAAATCAGTTCCAGGTAAAGTTAATATGCTTTTTTGGCGCTTATCCAAATCTAGGCTGTCCACTAGATGTAATCTTATGAATAGAGGTATTCGTATGGAGTCGTATATGTGTCYGTGMTGTCTTTGTCAWCCAGAAACGGAAAATCATTTATTTTTTGGATGCTCCACGWCTAAARAAATTGGCGCGCTTGTAAAAAATTGGTGGCCGGAATTTCCTTTTCAAGCTACTAATTTGGCGGAGTTCATAGAGGCGGCTAAGTTCCCGTTCAAAGGAAAGAAGGCGGCTGAGGCTATGGAGGTGATTCTCTTGGTGTTCATTTGGCATATTTGGGCTAATCGTAATGATCTGGTTCATAACAAACCGACCAAAATACCGAAGGGGATCTTCAAAGATGTTGTTCTCTTCTCTTTAAAGTGGCTTAAGGTTAGATCGAAAAATTGTAAACATCTTGATTGGGAACTTTGGTGTAGTAGCCCGTTGAGGGCGATTTTGTATCCGCTAGCGGCTTACTAGCTAGTTGTTTTTGGTTTTATAATATTTGATGTTCCAAAAAAAATAAAATGCGAGGGTATGGTGTACCATTTCTTAATATATTTTATGTAATTAGTATATAGCTAGTTTGATGCATTGGAATATTAATTTATATAGTCTGTTAACAATCAAATAATTAATACTATATATTTATGGTATTTTTAGTAAGCCATTCAAGATACGATGGTGAGAGAAATATGTGTATATATGAAAAACAAATACAAATTTATTGAAATTGTACTTAACAATTAATGATATTTGTAATTTTTTCTATATATATATTTCCCTAATTAAATTGTTGTAACATTAATTAATATTTATTATTTTAACGTATCATTAAATTAAAGAGTCTTTTAAAATAAAATACATTATTTTATTATCTTGAGGATTTTTTTTTTGAAGTAGTTTACCCTTAGAAGAAGTTGGTCCAAACTATTGCCGGTAGATATATTATATGCATGGGTCGGTGGTAGTTGTTTTTCTCATAGTGAGTGTGAGTCCACCATCATCTAATTAAACCTCCCTCACAAAAGTTAACATGACTCACAAGCTATGGTTTTCAATAGGATTAGGATTAGGATTAGGATTAGGATTAGGATTAGGATTAATTTAACTCTAGGCATATTCACTGCAACATACAGTCGCGGGCAAGAGACTCGTAACTCTTCATCATCAATTTATATTACTACTACTACATTTATTGTGAGTAAAATTAATTAGCATAAGCTTGCTGGATTTTCTTTCATGTTCATTTAATTCGTTTGAAAAGTAAGTGTAGCTATTTTTATTTAAAAAGTTCAAAATTGACTTGTTAGTCACGTTTAAAATTCAAAGTCAATGCAATAAAATTAGTTTCTAAATAAAACTAACTAATAAACCCAAGGCTAGCTTCTAGATTAATACAACCAAAATATTTCGGAATTCAAAAAATATTGTGCTTCTTATTCAAAATTAAAACTAGACCATTTATATATATATATATATATATATATATATATATATAATTTTGGGATATGGATGAAATAATACAAGACGTCTCAATTGATCAATTTTTTGTCGGTTTTAAAGGAACGCGCATTAAATATTTGATTGCATCATTCCGGAAAACAATTAACAAACTTTCTATTTTTCGGATAATTAAGTAGAAACATCGTCGGTATGCTCCATGACTAATTTACAATCAAGACATGAAAGATCCCTAAATATATATATATATATATATATATATATAAAAGTTCATATGAAGATCACCTTTTTCCTTGTTTACCCGATTAATTAAACTTTACAGAAAATAAAATAATATAAGAGAAATTCGAAAACCTAATTCTCATTCATCATCGTATTAGATACAAAGAAACCCAAAGTAGACATCTTTTTCCTAAGAAGATGATGAGATGAGATGAGATGAGATGAGATGAGATGAGTCGAGTCATGAAGGGACTATGATCTGTAGATACTTTACACTTTTTTTCAACACTCGCAAAAACTAAAAAGAGTAAAGAACACACCTAAAAGAGTACTACCTTCTTCCAGCTATTTGTTTAAGATCACTGAAGCCCTAGATCTGATTCACACTTAATGGGTTGGACGGAAAATCAATTAACCCCTCCATAAGCATAATTGAACACCCTATTCCAAAAACCAGGAGGAAAAAAGGATTCAAAACAAGCCATTACTTTCTTCTAAAGAAAGATTCATGAGGTTATCTTGATCATGTTCTTGAGCATTAGCATCATCAAGAAGCCATTTCTCTAGGAAACTAAGAGGAGGCAGTTGTGCATTATCCGTATTTGCAGATGGGTTGCTTTCATCTTGGAATAAACTCGTTTCAGGCGAAACCGATTGGGAAACTTCGGAAATATTGCTGTAGTTATGTAAGCCAAACTGCAGTGAATTATCAAAACCTTCACTTGGAGGACTAGGGAACTGCCCATCAAAAGAATTCCGAGTCTGGGTGCTTTCGGAGCTCGTCTGTGAAGATTTTTGCTTCTTTTTCATCCAGTTTGGGAGCAATCGTGCAATGTTTTCGGTACTTGATGCATAAGTGATTGTACTCTGATTGGTCTGTGGAGGGGGTAGAACCAATTCTTGTTCTATTTTTGCACTAGGGTTTGTACCAATTGATGATGAGGGCTTTCTTGAAAAGGTGGATGAGGATAACTGAGGCAGATTGACGGACTTATTGTCGAGAGATAAGGCATCACAAAGGGCTTGTTTGGCCATGTGGATATCAGTTTGAAGCCTTCTCTCCCATTGACCTTTAGACATGGTAGTTTCCGAGGATGATGACGAGTTCGACCCCCTTGAGGGATGATGGTTTTCTTGATTGGATGAGTTGCCTTGGATCTTGCTGAGCTTCTTTTTCAGATGGGTGTTCCAGTAATTCTTGATATCATTATCTGTTCTTTGTGGAAGATAAGAAGCTATTGCTGCCCATCTAAGCAAAAAAAAAAAAAAAAAAAAAAACCCAACAAAAACACATGAGAAAAAAGCAGTTATTAATATCATATCAATTTTCTTTCCACAGATCTAAACCCTTTGAATATGTGTATACCTGTTGCCAAGAAGGGCTTGCAGATGGATGATCATCTTCTCCTCTTGATCTGTGAAGTTTCCACGTTTGATACCTGGACGGAGATAATTCGTCCATCGGAGCCTGCAACTCTTACTGCATCTTAGCAAACCTGAACAGAAACAAGATGTGAAGTGATCGGTCAAAATGTTGATTGAAAAGAAGGTTGCAGGATACAATAAATACCCTAATTATGACTCTAACAAACCCACCTCTAAATAAGAATCTTTACTGGAAAAATTGAAAACCCAAAAAGAAAAACACAAAGAAGGAAAGATTTATTTGAAGTAAAGCAGTAGCATATAATAGATACCAGTACTGGTAGGAACAGATCTCCAATTCCCAGGGCCGTTTTCTTGAATATAAGATACAAGAATTATATCTTCTTCTGGAGTCCATGGCCCTTTCTTCACTCCTATCTTATCACAACAAGGTGGCCTTCCCATTGCAATCTTCCTTCTTGAGATTGTTGAATAAACAAGATCGTTGATGACTTTGGTTGTTTTGTGTACTTCACATTCACACCCAGTATGTGTTTTGTGAGTGACAAATGAGATGGGGTTTTCTTTTTTTCTTTCAATTCAACCTAGGATAAATGGCAAGAGACAAGGGTCATTGCCTAGGGGTATCCCCTTATGCACTATATATAGACCCAAGAGAGAGAGAGAGAGACGGTGGTGGTGGTGATGGTGGACTTATGGTGGTGATTTCAAACGCTGACCAAAAGATAGGGGTTGAAAAGAGGTAAAAGAGAAGGGACTTTACTCTCTCTCTCTCTCTCTCTCTCTAACCTCATAAACCAACAAAAGTCAAAAAGTAGACGGCAGCATTTACTCATCTTGCTTGCAAAAAGTCAGCCTTATGGTTCATGGAGATCAAGGGGGAGTGGGGGTAAAAACGAAGAAGATGAATTAGAAGGTCTCTTGGCCAGCCTTAATGCATTAGTTTGGCCCCCCACGTATTTATGCCAATACACAAATCATCACCAAATTAACAATTGCATAGCCAAAAATAGGTGTCACAAAAAACCATGAAAAGTGAATTTAATGTTGAAAATAGGTCTTCACTGACCATCTATCTATATATATAATTCTTCTAACGCCACTAATTCCTGCTTAACATACACTTCAAACCTAAATAGAGTAAATACGACATAGGAATTTGAAGAATTGAATGTTATGAAACGAGGAAAACAAATTCATGATTGATTGATTGAGTTGGCTTTACATGTGTGTTTAAAATTGTGCACACTAATTGTTGGGGAACTTGGTTTGTGGCCGTTGTATAATTTCGGATAGATTTTTAGATCGTACATGGGAATTCACTTTTTAAATATTGTATTTCATCTCTCTAATGCCTTAGGTTATTACAAGATCAGTACCGTGATAATTTAGAAATTTCATACACGACATAAGGCATTGATTTCGTATATATATTCATCAAGTCACATTTTTATGTATTTATATGAGAGATCGACAATTACGAACATTTATAATCGTTAACGGATAAGATTGAAGAGCAGTTACAACAGCATCAAGGTTCCTAGGACCGAACTCTGAATCCAAGTCTATATGCACCAATTTGAACTCTGATCCTACTGTTCAGAGTTTGAGACTTCGCCAATTTTCCTAGAACATCACAAGTCTGAACTCAAGGTTCAGATTTATAACTCCATTGGTTCAGACTTAAGTCTGAAGACAAGTCTAAACTCAAGGTTCGGATCTCTAACTCCATTGGTTCAGACTTAGGACTAGGTCGAATTCTCAAACCTGGATCCACATTTCATATCTCTGAATCCACCGCTAAAAGGCTGCCCCTTGGAACCTTGCTAGGAGCGCTATCCCTCGAACCCCCCGTAAGGGGGCGATATGTCGATCTCAAGTGATAGGAGCAACATTTGTAAGTGTACAGTCCGCACCTCTAACTCACTTATATTTGCATCATCACCTTAGTCGATCTCAAATAAATCACAATTATACCAAATAGTTTAGTTGATGACACTAACATCACCCAACAACATTGAGCCTGAGTTGATTTTTTAAGTGGTAAAAAGAGAACTGAAAATAAGAGGGAATTATTCAAATAAATTAAGATATATATATAGAGGGATGTTATTCTACACCATTTGCCATTCCTACACCCTATACAACCCTCATCTCAACCATTCAATTTTTAATCAATTAATTGTTTCCTAATATAAAGTATTAATCATAATTAATAAACTCTATTCATATTCCATANTCTATTCATATTCCATAAATATTCAAATCATAATAAATGAACTCCAATCATTTCTATAAATATCTCAATTAATTGGGTTGCAAAGGTTTTACAAATGCACAAGGTTGTAAAAGAAATATACCCTATATATATATATATATATATATATATATATATATATATATATATATAAATGAGCAAATTAATATTTAAAGACCATAAGTAAAGTTCAGATGATAATGGGAGGTTATAAAATTAATTATCGTCTCTAATTATTTTTGAAATCCTTTCTCTCATGATCATCATAAGTAGTAAATGTTAGATTTACATTTCAATTGGGTTCGACATAATTTTATTAATTAATAATTCCATTATCTTGATAGCGCTCTATTTCAGTATATAATTATAATCGATTTTCTACTTAATTCAATCCAGATTATTCAAAACATCTTTGTTTATGAGTGTTTATAATAATAAAAGGAGGGAAAACAATTGATTTTAAAAAATAGCGAATTAATTTTGTGAAGTGAAATGGTCAAAAAGTATTTTTGGATGAACTAAAAAGTCTGTCATTTAAGTGAAAATACGTTTGAAATCGATTTTTATGTCCGTAATGCTTTGAACCAAAACGTCTACACCATATAGAAATCATATATTTCAATTTAAATCAATGCAACATTCAACAAACAAACTTGATGTTTAAAAATTGAATGGTTTTGAAAAATTGGAATTTGTGTTGATGAAAAAACAATTGAAATCCTTTCTAATGACTATATAAATTTACCAATTGGATAGATCAAGAAAACATCATTCGTAAATGTAACAAGAGCTGAATATGCAACAGCAATTTAAGGTCGCATACCTAGACGGAAACTAAGTGATTCATACACAGCATCTCTCTCCGTTATCAGGGGTTCTACCAATTGATATCTTTCCAAAAATAATTCAAAGTCAATTTTTTTATTTGTATCTTCAATTTTTGAAAAATCTGTTTTAAATTGTCAAGTTGTAAATAAGCCAAGGATTTTTTTTTTTCCGTATTTCAGAATACGGTTAACCAACATGTCGGTAAAATAGCCTCGTAACTTCGGGAGAAGGGTGTTAAGATCATATCCGGCCTTTAATAATTATAGATCACGTTTTAGCAACTATTAATTATTGTTTTGGCGCATTTAACAACCCGCATATTTAAAAACAAATTGATAGTGTTGCCATTTATTAATATGTGTTTCAAAAGTAAAATATTTTTTTTGTGATATATAAGTGTTTAATTTCTAAAATTTATGATATCCGTAAAGTTTCGTTTTAGATGATTTTTTCGTCTAAATATAGTATTTAATATATTAATTAACATTTATTTATTTCACAATCCATATGTATTCGTGTAGATATGATTAGTATATCATTGAGGGAAAACTCAAAAAAATCAACACTAATGCAATGCATCCAAGATCCACCGGGTCAATTTTCGTGATAAACACAATTCATGGAGTGGGGGTGAGACATTGAGATTAATAGGTGATCAATGATATAGATCATTTTTTACGCGCCTCACCTTAAATCATATTCTGACACGATTTTTTCATCTATATGTGTGTGTGTGTGTGACAATTCAGTTGCAAGCTTGGTTTAATCTATGTTATTAATTAATTAGGGGGAAAGGAGAGTGTGACATGTGTCTCCATTTATTCACATTCGTTATGAATAATGAACGTGAATTTTTTTACAAATTCAGAATGAATGATACACCCGTGAATGTTCGGGACACATGACATTCCCATTTGTTCCCTAGTTCACAATAAACTTAAGTTCCATTGTAGATGGGGGACAAAGGAGAGTACACCATGTGTCGTACACATTCACTAGAATGTTATAAGAAATTCACGTCAAGTATTCATGATGAATGAGAATAAATTGGAACACATATATATCATACTCTACTCTGATCTCCAATTCACGACAGAAAAGACGTTTACAATTGAATTTTTACCCGTTTTATTAATCAAACCGTAATTAATTCTTTGAAAAAGTTAAAACTAAAACTATGACCACATTTATTTTAATCTAACATTTAATTAATATTAATCAGTTATTGTTATTTAGAAGTGTGTATTCTCATACATATGTGTTAAATAATTAAAAAATCATAATTTTTTTTAAAGAGATGGAGCCAATACAATTTGAGAAAACATTAATCAATTCAAGTGGTAATAAGCTTTGAATCTTTGGGAATTTTTCTCAAAGAACACCGGTTGCAAGACCATCCGGGGATTTTTGTGGTTGTTGTCGTGCACATTTAATATGTATGTATAGTAACGAAGAAAAGAAATTAAGCATTAATTCAGAAAGCATTGAATTTGTATTTTGTAAATATAACTAAAATTATGAATAAACCAATTTCTATTTAAAAGGAGATAATGATGTGGAGACCATGACCACAATTGGAATGGTTGAGTCCACTGTTCACCAATTATATATGCGAAAATATTAGGTTAAGCATCAATTCAAGGGGACTGACATTTTAAACACAAAATTAATTATACCTTTTTTATTTTCACAAATATATATATTTCTTTAAATTAAACTCCATATTTACTTGCATTCATATCAAATTATTAGAGTTTTTTATAATACATTTTCAGTTTTGACATTTACGTTTTTTGAAAAGCAAAACCCGACAAATTAAATACAAATATATTTGTAAGAGTTTATGTTTTAATTAACAAATTACCAAAATTTATTTACAAGTTGTAGATAAAATAATATTAATTCAATTTCATTTTTTTATCCTCAAGTGACAGTTTTAGACAATTTTCGAACAAGATGAAGAATCCACCGGAGATGCTCCAAAAATAACTTTACTGCAATTTTATAATTTTTTTAAATATAGAAAACAAAAAACTAAAAAATTAATGCAATTTCAACATATTTTGTATTTTAGAAATTTTATCCTTAATATATTATTAAAATATATTCAATCATCTAAATACAATTTTAAAAATCATATAAAATAATCTATATCTATACTATATTATAAAGCATTTGGCTAAAACTCTTAAAACTCTTAAACCCATTCATCCCTAAACAATTTCATCCATATCCGATTTCATCCCATAACTGAATTCGTGTAACTAAATGCAGATAAATACAATCAAATACAGGATAAAATCTCATTTTAAATATAAAAAATCAAAAATATAATTAGGATAATCATTGAGTTCTAACAAAATACTTAATTATTATCTTTATAAAATGTTATATTATTAAACCAAAAATAAATTATTTCATTATTAAACTTAAATTAAATT